CAGTCTGTGGAAGGTCCCGAGGTTGGGGGGGCTGTCGGCTGAGAACATGACGACCAGACACGTCAGCACCATCCCCACTTAATTTTTTTAAATGTGCAGTAAATGTGCATGTAACAGAAGAGTGGTCACTTCAACGTCCTTCACACGTGTGTCGTGTCAGCGTCCCTCACACGTGTGTCGTTCCAACATGCCTCACACGCATGTGGTTGTTGTTAGGTGCTGTCAGTCGGCTCCGGTTCACGGCAATCCCACATACAACGGAACGAAATCTGCCCGGTCCTGCGCCGGCTGCACGTGTGCACTTCGGTGATACCAATTACACTCATGCTATTGGCCAACCATCACCCTCACCACCTCCAGCACCGTCCAGCTCCCTCAACAGAAGCCTAGAGGCCCCTAAGCAGTGAGGCCCCCTCTCTCACCCTCCCTATCACTTATTACCTCACGGATGCTCAGGTCCGAGTCCCAAGACACGTTTACCCAACTGGGGTCTCGTCTTCCCGAAAACAAACTGTCCAGCCATCCTCTGTGGGTGTCTCCTGTGAGGGGGCACGCCCTTCATGCCCCCCAAGGTCAGCCCAGTCCCCCAACCCCCATTCCCCAGACACTCGCCAAGTGCCCCCACACACCCACCCTGCCCTGGGGGCATGCATCCAGGCCTGTCCCCATGTTCCGGGGGCCTCAGTCGCGGTGCAGAAACATTAAAATAGGTCCCCAAACCTTAAGTAGCAGAGCAGCTTGACAGCGCAGTAGCAGACCTGAGGCCTCAGGGCTGGCTCCAGCAGACGGGCCACATCTGTCTGCCTCAAAGGCTCAGGTTCTCAGCGCATGTTTTCATGTGTGAAGACCTCCCATGGGTATGTCAGGTTGCAGCTGAGTGAGCCCAAAGCAGGCTAAGAACACATGACAGCACGGGACCACCGCCACCTTCATGCTTAGAGAGAATCGGCCCCTCCGTGCCCGTCCTGCTCTGGGCAGGTTGACCCCCTCAGCCTTCATGCAGGACCTTGCGACCACCATCTCCCCCACACACACCTCAGGTTCCTAGGGCGCAGATGCCACACCAGCGAGGTCCTTGCAGGGGTTGTGACTGTGTGGGTGGCAGGGAGGGAGGGGTGGTGAAACAGAGCAGGGAGCCCCAGAGAGGGGACCGCTGTGCTCCCCTTCCGGGGCCTGGAAGCTCAGAATGGGGGCAGCAAGCCTGTGCCCAGGCCTTCCCGGCCCCCGCCCCCTCCAGCGCTGAGGGTGGAGGACGAAGCCCTGCCCTCAGAGGACTCACAGACTGGGGTTGGGGGTCCTGGAGAACCCTGGGCAGGTAGTGTCTGCACAAGGGGCCCAGACTGCCCCATCACACACCCCTCTCCAAGCCCTGCCCTGGCGGGTCACTGTGACCACAACCACAGGGTGACAACTGCTGAAGACACTAGGGGACTTGTGGGCCAGAGTGGGGCCCAGGCAGACGCTGCGGTCCCAGGGCCTCATTGTGGCACGGCCTGCACGAGGTGATGAGGTGACGGTGCTGCTCTGCCAAGCTGCTCCCTGGTCTCCCACCTGCACTCAGCGACCTGCAGCCCCGCTCTGGCACCCATGGGGCCCTGAGGAGAGAGGGGGCCAGCCAGCTGTGTGTCACCCAGACATCCCAGAGGCGGTGCCTGCGGCCTTCTGACCCACCCTCCTCAGCACAGTCTAGCCCCTGCCCAGGCACCCTGGGAATAGCTTCCTGGGAAGGGAGCATGAGCCCAGTGGAGACCAGAGAAGGGGACGCTGTGCTGGAGGGTGGCTCATCCATCCAAGACCCCCCACTCTCCCCACGACCCCACCACCCCCAGCCCGGGATCCTGCTCCCTGGGGTGCCCATCCCAGTCCGATTGCCCCTGGGGGGCGGGGTGGCGACAGAGCTGGGGCCGCCTCCCCGTTCTGTTGGGCACGCCAGGAATCCCCCAGCCCAGTGCGCCGGGGCGCGGGCGCGGCGGTGTACAGAGGGGTGTGAGGGAGGGGGTGTGCGGAGGGGTGTGCGAGGGCGGGGGTGCGCGCAGGGGTGTGCGCGCAGAGCGCGAGGGAGGAGCGGGAGCCAGAGAGTCGCGAGCAAGCCAGCAAGCGAGCCGGAGAAGCGGTGCGCGCCGGTAGCAGGGTGTGCGCTCGGTTCAGCGCCACGGTCTCCCTGCGCAGCCCAAGCCGGCCGGGCACTCTCTGCCGGGAACAGCGCGGCTGCCCAGAGGCCAAGGAAACACAGCGTGCAAAGATCGAGGGAGCCTGGAGCCCGGGTGAGCGCGAGCCCAGAGCGCTGCCGGGGAGGCTGGGCTGGGTCGGACGCTTTCCAGCTGCACCGCGCCTCGAGCCCTTCCCTCCACTTCCTTTCTTCCGCCCCCGCCTGGAGACGTGCCCACCGTTGCCCCCGAGTCCACCATGCGCCTCAATAGCTCTGCGCCTGTAATGCTGGGTGCTCCGGGGAGCGACTCCTTCCCTCTGCCGCCCTCGGGGCTGGAGGCGGTGCTGCTGGCCCTGGCCTCCAACAATAGCTTGGCCAATGCAACCCAGCAGGTCCTGGCAGGGCCTAGCAGTGACCTGGACGTGAACACGGACATCTACTCCAAGGTGCTGGTGACAGCCGTGTACCTGGCGCTCTTTGTGGTGGGCACGGTGGGCAACTCAGTGACAGCGTTCACGCTGGCACGCAAGAAGTCTCTGCAGAACCTGCAAAGCACGGTACACTACCACCTGGGCAGCCTGGCCCTGTCCGACCTGCTCATCCTGGTGCTGGCCATGCCCGTGGAGCTGTACAACTTCATCTGGGTGCACCACCCCTGGGCCTTTGGTGATGCCGTGTGCCGTGGCTACTACTTCTTGCGAGACGCCTGCACCTATGCCACGGCCCTCAATGTGGCCAGCCTGAGCGTGGAACGCTACCTGGCCATCTGCCACCCCTTCAAGGCCAAGACGCTCATGTCTCGGAGCCGCACCAAGAAACTCATCAGTGCCATCTGGCTGGCCTCGGGGCTGCTGGCCGTGCCCATGCTCTTTGCCATGGGTCAGCAGAACCGCAGCGCCGATGGCCAGCACCCCGGGGGCCTGGTGTGCACACCCGTGGTGGACGTGGCCACCGTCAAGGTCGTCATCCAGGTGAGCGACTGCGGGGAACGGAAACCAGGGACACCAGGCCAGGGGCTCGACTGCGGGGCTCAGTGCGTCTCTTCTCCTCACGTCCAAAGTTCTTTCGGGTCTGGGTGCCCGGGCGCCCAGCAAGCTGAATCTCACCCGTGGGCAGCTGGGAAGGGGAGCAGGGTGCGGTGCCGGCACTGACCCTGGCCTCACCTCCCTCCTTCTTCCCACCAGAGCTGCTGGGTCCCCACCTCCTCCCATTGCCCAGTAGGGGAGCAGCTGGAGCCTGGGCTCCCCAAAGTCCCTGCTAGCAGATGTGACATTGTGTGGCTGCTGTCACTCCGTTCATCAGTTTCTCGAAGGCTTTATGCCTCCAAAGGTTATGTCCACTCCCCTGCATCTGAGCCGCCCAGCTGGGCCCTCCTCCCCCCACGGTGTCCAGGCAGGCCTGGGAGCTAGAGAGGAGCCTGTTGGCCTCCTGGGAGCCTCAGTTTCCCCACTTGTAATGTGAAGTAGTCACACACCAGTCTCAGAAGGTACCGGGTCAGGACAGAGCACACGGGAGGCGAGGACTGGCCCCTGGCATGGAGAAGGCACCCAAAGGTCCCTTTGGTGGTGGTGACGATGATGTTTCTACTGGGAAGATGGCAGATGATTTGGGAGATGTAGGCCTAGGGTCCCTGCTCTGCCCTCTGAGGGTCTGAGCACAGTGCCACAGCCGCCCAGCCGGGATCCCTCCCTGGGCCGCTTGGACGGGCTGTGGGGGGGCCAGGCATCTGGGGGCTTGGCAGGCAGGGGCTGCACTGGCGCCGAGGTGAGAGGAAGGCATCCATCACAGATAGAGCAGAAAAGACCCTTCGTGCCCTGGCCTTGGGATGCAGGTGACCGCGGGTGGCCATGAGGACATGACATGGGGCTTCCACCCCAGGGTGGGCTGAGGAGGGCAGAGGGAGGAGTGGGGCAGGGTCTGCACGTGGACGAGCCAGAGAGGGGCCGGGCTCCCAGCCGCTGCCACCTCCGGCAGAAGGAACTTCTGCTCCTTCAGCCAGAGAGTGACAGTGACTGACGTGGTGGGGACCGCAGCATCAGGGCAAGAGCTGGTGCCCTCACGCTGATTCCCGGAATGGGATTGACAGCACAGGACCCCACAGAGAAACCTTGAGGAGGGTCCTGTGGTGCCCCGTGGCCACACTGAGGGGCTGTGGCTGCAGGGGTCCCCGTGGGGAGCAGCCCCTCCCCCAGCAGAGATGAGTCGCGCGCCCCCGCCCTGCTCAGGGAGCACACAGCTGCCCGCGGCCCAGCAGCCCTCCTCTGGTCTTGCAGGGACTTGACTCAGGGGATCCCCCCACCACATTGCAGGGAATCGAGGGTCAGCAGTCACCCCCAGTCTTGCCCTCCTCCCCCCAGCTCCCACAGACTCTACAGGTGAGGCTGGCCTTTTGGCATCACGCTGGGGGGCAGGGCTTACCCTCAGCCCAGCCCCCTTCTCTTCCTCCTGCAGTGCCATGGCTCTGTTGGCCCCACGTAATCGGGCCCCGACCCCATCATTCGTCTGAGTCCTGTGACTCGAGTCGTAACCCTGGGGTGGCCGATGGCACCCTGGTCACTCGTCCACTCTGAGTGCCTGCTGCGTGTCGCCCTGGTACAGCTGTGCCCCGCACACCTGGCTCTGGCCGAGCCTTACTGGACACTCCCTGAAATCTTCACCACGTCAACAAAGCAGCTCCGAGTTTTCTTGGAAGACTCAGCTGTGTGCTTGCAGGTGCAGGGACAGGGAGGCTTAGCCCCGTGGACGCCGACGGCTTGGACAAGGCTTGCCAGGGCCGTGCTGCCCAGCTCCATGAACTTGGAAGGCACACCCTTACAGGGCTGCCTGCCGCCCAGCCGCCACCGCCATCTTAAGAGATTCCTGGGAGAGGGGTTGTCCCCGCATCCCCCGGCCTTTGGGCTGTGGAGACGGGGCAAGCTTCCCTGGTTTTAAACAGGGGTGTCTTGCTGAAGGGGGGCTGGGCACTCTTGTCCACTGTCTCCCCGTTCATCCACCATGTTTGGAGGTATCAAGGCATTGGCCGATCAGAATGGCCCCCCTTTTCCCTCCTGCCATGGCCCCCCACATCTGTGAGATCCATCTGGACTCTTGCAAACAGAAGGCATGTAGCAATGAGGTGGTTTGGGAGTACTTTGAGCAACTTCGGGTAATTGTGACTTTAATACAGCCAGACACTTTCTGAGAGTGCGTCCCCAGGGCAAGGTGGGCTGTGACAAGCCAGCTGAGGGCAGGGCAGGGTGTTCCCACCCAGACCCTTGCCAAGGCGCAATCCTAGCCTGGGGTGAGCAGGGGTGAGCAGCGCCATGGCGGAGGAGGGCTGGGCAGGACCTGCTGCTCAGAACGGCTGTCCTTGAAGGGGTCCCCGCGCTTCCTTAGTGGTGTCCTGTCCCTCCACCAAGCCAGGCGGGGCCAGGGCCAGATCCCCACCCAGCCTGTGTTTCCAGTGAAGACCGCGGGGCGGGGGCCGTGTCTGTGCTACTGCACAGGCGGCTGTTGGGAGCCCTTGGTGGCGTCTCACTGCTTCGTCCGCCACCGCCTGCTCCAGCACCCATTTCACAAGCTGGGTCGTGCCTCCGTGGAGTGGACAGTGAGTGGCCAGTGCTCTGCTGGAACTCACACTGCCTCAGATGGGTGTGGCTCATTGAGGGGACGCGTAGGGGGTAGCAGCTACCCTAATCCAGCTTCAGAAAGCTCTGACCACGGGCGGGACGTGGGCCTCGTGTCACAGATGGTACATTGGCTTCGGGGCTGGTGGGTCGAGCCATGAACACATGGTGCTCATCTGCGGTGGTGGCAGGTGGCGGGGGAAGACGTGTGTCCGGCACATCAGCCAGAGTCTGGGGACGGTGGCTGGCTCAGTCTGACCAAGGCCAAGAGCTCATACGGCGCGTCTCCCCCAGCAGGCCCCAGCCCAGACCCGGCCGAGTCTCATCTGCCTGCCTGTGGGTGGCCCCTAACTCACCTCACCAGCTTCGAACACCAAGGTCACGGCCAGCGGCTGCTGTGTGTCGAGTCTGCTCTGAGCCCTCAGCTCTAGACATATCCAGTATCCCGGTCACAAAAGGAGGGTGGGAGCAGCGACCACTTCCAGCCCAGCATTCTGAGAGCCTGGACACTGTACCTGTATATATGTGCATAATGACACATGTCACACATGGGCATATGTGTTACACATGTGCACACATACCCACATCACACGGAGAAGCCCACATAGATACATATGCACAAAAATACATGTATACAAGTGCATACACAGAAACACACAGAGACAACAACAGGTGTGCACAGATAGGCATACATGCACACACATGTGCACAGGGACACATATGCATACACAGCCTCGCATGTCCACACGCACACTTGCAAACATGTACACAGAACACACGTGCACACATGCACGTGTATAGGCTCATGTGTACCCACACATGTGTACATGTGTGCACAGGGAAATGTACACAGACACACGTGCGTAGACACAGAAGCACACCCTGACATGTAGCTACATGGTGCTGTGCCAGATGAGCGGAGAGGGAATCTCAGAGCCTCCACAGACCAGAGGTCAGCGACTCTGAGAGCTGACAGGGGTAGGGCAGGCAGGGGCAGGCAGGGAGGTGGCAGTGTTATTTTCACGTTGCCCTAGAAGTACCTCTACTGTGTCCTACACGGTCACAAACCCTCAGCTGCACGCCTCCAGCCTCGCAGCACCTCCAGGGCTGGGGGACCTACCCAGGGGGCTCAGCCACTCATCACCTGCCTCCTGAGGACCTCTCTCCTATTCAGTGTTTACACAGTGCTCTGAGCTGGGATTGGATGGGGTAGCCAGCCTGGGTGGGGGTGGGGATGTGCTTGCATCCCAGGGCATCTCGAGAGACCAGGGCCTTTTTTGATCCACATCCACCTGCTTCACATCCTGCAGCAGATTGATTGTAGAGTGGCTATGTGGATGCCCAGACCACTAACCCTTTCATGATTCATGGGACATATAGTGCCCACCTATGTTTTCTGCCTCTGGAGTTTAATGGGAACTGCTATCCTAGTTTTACTGCATGCTGCCATCTGGTGGAAGGCTGTATAATTGCATGAATCTGAAGAAGTGAGGCTCATTCCACAAACTCCAGCACTAAAGACCCCCTGGGACATATGTGTCCCACTAATTGTATCAAATTCCACATTACCTAAAAAAATTTTTTTTTTACTTCATTCAAAATGCTTTCCATTACTGATAACACATGGGCTCAACAAAAAAGTCAAATCAGAAAAGAATTTGGTCTTGAAAGGGTCAAGGGCTGATGTGATTCACAGGGGGGTAGGTGGCCAAACCCAGCAGCCACAGAGGGGAAGGAGATGGGTTCCCACAAGATCAGCATTGAGACCTTTCCTGCTTTGCCCTGAGGCTCCGTGCCTCCAGGAGCTGCCTGGGGCCTCGCGCCGTCATTCCTTCACCCGCTTCATTCTTCCACCTGCCCCTGTGGCTCAGTAACTTTCTCATGAGTGCACAGCAGACCCCATAGACAGGCCAGCCCTAGGGGGAAGACGTTTGACTAGGGCCAGGTACCCCCATAGTCTCACATCTTCCCACAGAACACCTATTAACTGCCAAGGAGACGGCGGCTTCACAGTGGCCACTGTTTGAACCAGGTGGGCCAAAGCCAACACCACCCAAAGGCACCATTATGCACCCCTGATGTGACTCACCAAGGACACAGTACCCCCTCTGGGGTCTTCCTGTGCAAGATCCAGTCACGAGGATCGCAGGTTGTTCCCTAAAGTGTCTAAACCAGCCGCCTGCACCCCAAATGCCTCAGGGTTGTGACAGGGAAGACACACTGGTGGGCTGCTCCATGTCCCGGGCTTGACAAGAAGTACCGCGTGCACGCAGGCCAACAGTGCAAGTCCTAGTGGGCACCCACAGAGCCGAAGGCAAGGACTCTGATAGACATGGGTGCTCTATGTGTGCTCAGAGCAGCACGTT